ACATTCTTTGATGAAACTCATCAGCTGAAACTGTAGGGTTCAGAGGTTTGGAAAAGGCTGGGACTACTTTGCTAGGAAGCTTGAATTATTACCTTACCTCATTTACTTTCGTAACTTAGTACATTTATTATTTTCCCCTCTTTAAAGTATGGTCATGTTTGCTGGGTATTGATCATTCCAAAGAAAATATGATTCTATATGCAGACCAACTTAAATAGAAATACTTGGTTCAAATCACTTGTTAGTGCAGCAGCTTATTTGTTACTGTGCAAAACCTTACAAGACTCCTGTTGTGTTGATTTATTAGATTAGGCATATTCATTCAATCCTGTTAGAAAATTTAGCCTTCTAATTAGTTCCTTAAAGATCCATTAATTTTATCTGAAGTTAACAGTAGTTGTAAAGGCCAAACTTCTGTCCTTTCTTTAATTCTTTACCTTTGCATGAGCTACCATCTGTCTGAACCTTGAACTAAAACCAAAGTACATGAGTAATTTGGATTTGCTAACCTAAAACTGCTTTTGTGTTTATTCATTTTTAAAATAAGTAATCTGATATTGTGGATGAGCTTATGTGTACTGTGTAGAGTCTGAAATACTTCTTGGTAGCTTTCATATTTAAAAAAATAAATAAATAAAATAAATCTAATATTTCTATTCATGTTGCAGGCATTAGCGTGAATACTTCAGGAAATCTTCCATCATCAACGCTGTTAAAGGAGAGCAGTAAGTTGATAAATAATATGCTTATGGAATGAATTCAGTCAGTTTGTGAGGCACTTGTCAAATGCTTCACTGTTCCACCTGTCCCATTTTTTCACTATTGTTATATCAAATGCCTCTTCCATTTAGTTGGATAGGACATTTTCCTAAACACAACTCCTAATATTTCTTTTGGGTTGTTTCTTGGGGAAGATTTTGAAATGTATGTATAATATTTTTCAAATATGAATAGTGTCTGTTTAGTTTGAGACGTGAAGGGTGCTGTTACCTAACATGCCATGTGCTTCAGAGCTCATTTCCCTCACTTGTGAGGTTACTGGTTTTGTAGAGCCCGAGAAGACTGTGTTTTCTTTTTAGTTCTTTTACTCTTTAGGTTTGACTTTGTTTTGTGGGAGAAAAAACTCTTTCTCCAGGTGGTGCAGTCTGTCATGCTCTCTTGCATGTTCCACTTAGGGCAAAAGTAGGCCAGGCACTCCAGACTAAACGAGTTAAATCTTCTCTAGGTAGCAAGTTCATTAGTTCAGACTTACAGTATGTTGGCATTTCCTGAATTTTCAGGAGATTTATTTTTTTTTCTTTTTTCCCAAATGAAATTCCTTCTGTCTCTCAGGTGCCTGTGTCTAGTTCAGCCTGTTGGGAACTCTCAGGAATCACATAGATCTGTCATGAGGGTGTCCAGATTTTGGAAGAGGCAGAATCAGCAGCCTGTGGAGTTGCAAATGAGGAAATAAATGTAAAGAAGATAGATTTTAGTAATGTTTCTAATACTGTTTTTTTAATGAAGGACCACTATTAAGAGAACTCATGCAATCTTTTAGTAACTTCATATAAAAAGCCTCAGTTCCACTTTTACTGATGTACTTACACCCTGCCTAGCTGAGCAAGGCACGTAAACACAGATCTAAGTACTTTGCTGAACTGAGACTAATAAATCTGAAGATTCTAGGGCTCAGTTGTGTTATGATTCCAAGATACTATGCTAGGTGCTTTTCTTAGGAAGAATAAAAGATTTTTAACTGCTGAAGATGGGATTGAAGATTGAGTTACAACAGTGCTGCCTGTTTCTTTTTTTATTTGGACTGGCTTGGAAGATGAAAGTTGGACCCACTAGTTCAGAACAGGTTTTCAGGTTATCAGAGAAGTAGTCTTTTTTAATGGAAGGAACTTCAAGGTACACCTGAAGGGAAGCATTCAGGTAGTGTCTGATCATGAAATGTTGGCTTTTCAGTTGACTCTCTGCAAACAACACAGAACAGAGTTGCCTCACCAGAAAGAGAGATCACTTTGGTGAACTTGAAAAAGGATGAAAAATTTGGCTTGGGTAAGTGGCTTTAAAATTGTTGTTGTCATGTGTGTTCCTAGAAGCCAAAAACAAAATAAAGTTTTCTGGTTACTGTAGGATTTAGGAAAGCAGTGCACACAGGAGCTGGGTTTCAAAGGCATTTAAAATGCTGAATCCTGGACTGACTTGATAGCACCTGCTACTGATTTGTTAAATGATGTTAAGCAAGTCTGTTTCTCAGTCTTTCCATATTATAAGTTAGGATAATATTTATATTGTGAGCTAGTCATCGTAAAAGTTGACCTTTAAAGCTTATCTCTGTGTTCAGGTACATGTCTATGTGGACAAATCACACCTGTGTCGACTTTAAGGCTTTAAACAACAATAAAAAAAGACATTATAAAGCCATTATGAACTAATTGTGGAGTGTTTTTCTTGCTCTTATAATATAATCAGATGGAACACTGATTTGAGGTTTAAGGAGCATGGAAGATGAGATATTTGCATTCTGTTCCTTCTTCTACTGCTGAGTTTTTTCATAAACCCACATAGTTTTTCCCTGTATGAGTAATGAATAGTTTGGTGTTAGGGAGGCTCTCCAAAGTGTCCTGAAGGTCAATGTTCTGTCTGTCATTCAAAATAGCACTGTTGTGTAAGTTTGAAGAGGGGAAGAAGCCTGCAAGATAATAATACTTAGTTTTTACCCTGCACAGTAACTTGAGTTGACCATAAAGGAAAGAAATTCATATGAAATGTATTGTTTCTTCTCTTTCTTCCCCAGTCAGCCTGTGGGAATTTGCTGTTTTAGCTAGAATAGAGAAGACCTGATATCTTCTGTTTTCTTTTTTTTTCGTCTTGAACATCCTTCCCAGGTTTACCTGGTAGAATTAGCAGAAATAGATTCGCAGCCTCAAAAGAAAAATAGGAGTTGAAAAACTCAGTTCTTAAGACCACAATCAAACATTTAAGTGAAGCATCTAACAGCAGAAAAAAACAGAAATTTTTAAGTAAGAGAAAATAAATTTAATCTGGTCAGTGAATGTACATTTAAAGTCATCTGTTTGTGTATTTCTCTTGCCACAGTTGTTTTCTGTAGCCTTTGCTGGAGTTTTCTGAGAAGCCAGCTAGACAAAGTCTGAATCACTTGCTTAAAACCAGAATACAATAAAGCTTAATCAAAAAAAGCTTTACCATATACTTTCACATAGCCTTCTTGGAGATATATAGTTTTCTTTGACTTTACATTTATTAGAATGAGTAAGTTTTTGTTTGTTCTGAAATATGAACTTGTATTGTGTTAAGTTACACTGTAATCACTGACATTTTTCACTTGCTTTGGGCCTTTTCTAATAGGCTTTCAAATAGTCGGCGGAGAGAAGACGGGGAAGCTCGACCTGGGAATTTTTATTCATTCAGTTATTCCTGGAGGGCCAGCTGATTTGGAAGGAACTCTAAAACCAGGTGAATAGTGTAAATAAGAAGAGGTGTATAGGTGAAAGAAAAGGCCAAACACATACATGGTAGTGTTTCCATCTGTGGCTGTGGGTGTCAGACCTTTACAAATGCTGACCTTCAGTTAACTTCTGGCAACTGGTGATACTTCTTTGTTAAACTATACAAAAACAAAAATCATTTGAATCCAAGTAAAAATGATAAAGCTTGAAGTAGCAGGAAAAGTAACTTAGGTATAAAGATAAGAGCTTTATTTGCTATTATCTCTCTATAGTTGTTTTGTAATTTCAATTTTTTTTAAACTCCAAATCCACACTTTGATTTTGGAAAAAGTGAATGTAACCATATGGCTACTACAGTAGAAAAAGAAAAAAAAAAAAAGAGGAAATTTGTTTTATTGAATATCTGCCTTTTTTTTTTTCCTTTTCATTTTAGTCTGTGCCTTGAACTGAACTGCACTTTGCTTATTTGATTTTTTGATTTTTGCTTTTGCATCCATTTGTCTTACAGCAGAAGAGGAGGTAGAAATCATGGAAAGGTTTGACAGGTTTAAAAAGAGGAAATATTCATACTAGTTCTTGTGGTTTGTCTTAGGTTTTGTGGGGTTTTTTGCCCTCTTTTTCTTTTTGCCCTCTTTTTCTTTTTGCCCTCTTTTTCTTTTTGCCCTCTTTTTCTTTTTGCCCTCTTTTTCTTTTTGCCCTCTTTTTCTTTTTGCCCTCTTTTTCTTTTTGCCCTCTTTTTCTTTTTGCCCTCTTTTTCTTTTTGCCCTCTTTTTCTTTTTGCCCTCTTTTTCTTTTTGCCCTCTTTTTCTTTTTGCCCTCTTTTTCTTTTTGCCCTCTTTTTCTTTTTGCCCTCTTTTTCTTTTTGCCCTCTTTTTCTTTTTGCCCTCTTTTTCTTTTTGCCCTCTTTTTCTTTTTGCCCTCTTTTTCTTTTTGCCCTCTTTTTCTTTTTGCCCTCTTTTTCTTTTTGCCCTCTTTTTCTTTTTGCCCTCTTTTTCCTTTTGCCCTCTTTTTCTTTTTGCCCTCTTTTTCTGATTAGGGTTCCTTATTCCAGCATCACTTGAATTCTAGTCATTTTTAATCCATGCATTTTGTAGAGATTTTTCAGACCTGTACTCCACATTCTTACAGATGGATAAAATTGTAAATGTCTCTAAACAAACCCTTTTATGCAGGACACCGACTGATATCCGTAAATAGCACAAGTTTAGAAGGTGTGAGCCACCATGCAGCATTAGAAATTTTGGAGAATGCACCTGAAGATGTGACACTTGTTATCTCTCAGCCCAAGGACAAGCTAGCCAAAGGTATGGAGAGAGAAATAGTCCTTATTATTAAGGAGTTCTTTGAATTTGAGCACTCTACCTTCTCTGACACCTTTTGTAAAGTACTTTCTGTGTTTCTTTAAAATTACTGATCTAATCAACTAAGATAAACCATAAACCATAAAACATCACCCTGACCTTCTGTAAGTAACCCCAGCTCGTATATGCTTGAAAATGTGTTCTGAGACTGAAGGAAGTGTGTTATGGTAATATTTGGTGAGGACATACAGGTTGCATGGTGAACAGGAAGTGGTCTGCTTAATACGAGTGGGTAAAACCTTCTGTGGGTGTAAGCTGAGCAGTTTGTGTCATGCTGCAGATAAGATGTTACCAGCTACTGATGACTGTCTTGTCTCCTGGTTTTCAGCGTCGTCTAACGCTGCACACATCAGTAATGGAACCAGGGGTTATTTAAGGAGGCCATCTTCAGTGCAGGACAATGAGGCAGAGTCCTCTTCAGAAGAACACAACCAGTCCCGTGGTCACCAGAGGCCTGTTTCGGGGAGTTTGTCTGGTTTGTCAGGAGGAAAGCGGGATGGAAGCGTGAGCTCCCAGGATTCCAGAACCGAAAGCGCCAGCCTGTCTCAGAGCCAGACAACCAGCTTCTTTGGCAAACGTGCAAGTGGTAGAGCCCAGCAGGATCCTCAGCATTACAGTGATTCCCAGTCTGGGCTTTCTAAAATGACTGAGAAGAGAAAATCTTCATCTGACAGCACTCGAGCAAAAAATAAAAGGCCTGGGGTAGTGGAGTCTGTGGAATATTCTGACCGAGGGGATTCTGACATGGATGAAGCAACTTATTCCAGCAGTCAGGAGCAACAGCCAGCTAAAAAGGCATAGTGTATTTCATATGAATATTTCCCATCAGTATAATAGTGGTAATGAAATAGCTGACTGTGGGTGTGGCTAATGTGAAAGGATGTGGGGGAAGGACAGTCTAACCTGCAGCTTATCCTTCTAATGGCAAATGCTAATAGCTAATTTCTAATAGTTTGGTGATTTTGTTCAAAATAAATGGAGAAAATCAGTCCTGTGACTTGAAACATCTTCCCAGCTTTTCAGTGTCACGAGGTGGGCATGTCTCACTACAGATTGTGTTTACAGTGAAGTTCAGCAGTGAGCTGTGCTCTGAACAGAGACAGCTTGCTGCTTTACCTTTCCAAAAGTACCCAGTGGCAAGTATTACAAATTACAAATTAACTTGCAGAGATTTCCTCTTTTCAGCTGATGGAGGAGGTTATTCAACAAAGTTGTGGCAGCTCCTGCAAATTAATCCAACAGCCCCCAGGCTGCTGTAATACTGAAGTACTACAGTTTGTGTTCTGTGACCAACTCACTTTGACAATAAAGACTCAGCTGCTGAAGGCTGAGCATATTTCTGTGCTAAACCTGTTCAATGGCAGCATTGGAAGAGTTAAAGCAATGAGCTTTACGAGTCTTACTAATTGGTACTTTGCCATGTGGATTCCTTTTGGCTGCATCTGACTCAAAAACACACCCTTTAGGGTATTAGCTGTAAACTTCTGTTCTAATGGCAAATGTTCTCTCTCTGTTTTGTTTGTTTCTTTCTCTTTTTTTTTAATAAAGGAATCTTCCTCAGCGAATACAGCAAACAAAATGAATTGTAAAAAGGTTACTACAACACTTCTTAAACCTGGAGATATCTTTGAGGTTGAGCTAGCCAAAAAAGATAACGGCTTGGGAATAAGTGTCACGGTACTGTTTGACAAGGTTTTTAGATGTTTTCTCTTTTTCTCTACTCCCAGCAACCCTTTAAATTGCTAAATTACAAGGAAGCAAAATATTTTCTGGAGTCACTGTAAAATATGTAGTTTTACTGATATGTGCTTACTGAAAAGTAATACTATTTTATATCCCTTTTCTTGTCATCTGCCCTTTAAGTAACTCTTGTTTGTTGTTTTACGATGGAGCCCCGAAGTCCTATTAGAATCCTATCACAGATGCTGCTTTGTGAGTACAAAAAGCAAGATGATCTTTGTCTCTTGCCACCTAATGATGCGGCAAATTCACAAGGGAGAAAAATAAGACCTTCCTTGACTGGCATTGCAGGCAGTGGAAGCTTCAGAGTATCTATGCACGTCCACACACGTATGCCCTGTTCAGTGTTCTCCCTCTGCTGGATAAAAGGCAGAAAGCAAAATGCTACTGAAATCCAAATAAAACCTGGCTGGCACTGTGACACTGCTTTCTTGCAATACAAGACAAAAATGTCTTTTTAATGGGCTAATTTCTCTTTGGGCTATATTATTTTGAAGGTAGTTTACACTTAGGGCCTGCCATACTGCAGACTTACTTCAGGGAAGAAGAGTGATTTATAACTGAGATGCGGACATTCTTCACCACTCCTGTTCTTGTATTGTGTTCAAAAATACATCTTGGTATTTTAATATTTAAATATTATCTCTGGTTGATTGATCGCTGGACTACACAGGAGTTTGAAAAAGGAAAAGTTAATTAAGTTATAACAACAGAGAGCAGTTATTAGGTGTAGTTCCAACACTGGTGGCTTTTACTGGCTGTTTGTACCTAAACTAAGTTGGCCTTTTCCAGATGTGGCAATACAGATAGGCAGGTAGGTGGAGTGCCAGTTTGCAAGCCCAGCACAGATTTCATACATATGACCAATATTTTGTAAGAGGAGCAGAATGAAATTCTGTTATTTTACCATCTCAGTCTCTTCAAAGTCATATTGTCTTGTCAAGCTTATAACTTGGGATAGCTGGAGGATCCAAGGTTCAGCA